TCGTTTTTTCAAGCAGTGAAAAACTGCTACAATATTGTTGAAATAAGAAGGTAAATTTTGACTACATATTAATAATTATAATAGCTCAAATGGGATATCGGACGGTCCTGCAATCATAGAATCTTGGTTCGAGCTCTGTCTTTGACCCGACTTTTTTTTCCTTTTTTTAAAGTTCCCGTCTTTTTTGAGAAAATCTATTATAAAGAACCATTTTCAGTATTTTTTAAAAACACGAAAATTTAAACTAAACTTATTGCACTCATGATTTTTTATTCAAGTAACCAGTTCAGTTTTTTTCTATTATGTCGGTAAGATCAAAAATATTACCTATTCATATTTCATCAGTATGTAATTTGTATCTACATATAATTTCCAAAACACACGATTTCAAAAAAAACGAGCGGAGCTCGGTCATCCAGGTACTCTCTTACATATATGTATATTTTTTTAGGATAAGGGCAATCAAGCATGCTGTTCACCTGATGGAATGTGAACTACCGCCGCCCATAAACAACTGCAAAACCAGGGGAATGACAGATGCGTTGCCAACCTTTTATAAAGAGTAGGCTCTTTTCTTGGTGGTCCCTAAGTCGTATCGGTCTGGAAAAATCTCTGGTGGTATCGATTCCACAAGGAAGTTGTGCAAGTAAGAAAACTTCTAAATCCCACAGTGTTGAACCGCCAATTAACCAGAGAATATGGATGGTATCGCGAGTGCGATGGTGAAATTGAGCTGCTAGAATCAGTCCGAACAATTCCTCACAGCACTGTCCTTGGTAGATGCGATAAAATACGCAATATCTCTTCGCAGTGTCAGTGCGTCAAACCAACCAGAAAGAATTCGGTCACCAATGATTTGAACCGCTCTGCGCTGGATGGTGGAAAGAGCTGGCACTGGAAGCCCCAGCCCAGAGATAGGAACAGTATTCCATGTGAAGCCGAAGCTGCGCCTTGTAAGGTTCCAGGTGATGTGCCGGCATGAAATACTGTCCCGCTCTGCTGGGCACGCCAAGCTTTTTAGAGGCCAATTTGGCCTTCTCTTTCAAATGAAGGCCTTCTCTTTAAAGATCTTCCTTGAAACTGCACGTTACTCGATATGTCAATGGCGAGGATTCCGATACTGGCTGAGGTAACAGGGTGTAACGCTTCCCCCCCCCCCCTTTCTCATAATAAAAAATATATAAAATACTAAATGTATTATATTCCCCTTTATATTAAAAATTATATGTATGTGACCAGGATTAATAAATTATGTATATTAATAAATTATAATAGGCCGTTTGTAATATTTTGGCGTGATCGTCTTAGTTAGGACCCTTATTTACGTTGTGTTTGTTTAGTAACTTAGTTCTTTTAGGTGTCCTTTGGAAGAATGAATATTCACTAGAGCAATTGAAAGCTATTGGTAGTGCCTTATAAGCTAAGTGAACCCCGTTCACGAAGACAGGGCTCGAGAAAGGTTAAGAACGTAAAACGTCTTTATTCCACTTGTATCAGGTTGACATTATTAATTTATTATTATTTATCCCTTCCCGCTTGGAAAAGGCTCACAATATATTTATACAAAAATACCCGATACAAGGGCTTCGCTCTTCTACATTTATTTAAAAAAATGTAGGGGAGGTACACGGCCCCACACACGCCGTGCACGGTGAGCGCCAACCATTTTGATGCACTCCCCCCCGAAGGGAACGCTAATTCGGGAATTGGACCGTCGTCCACAGCAAAATAACTGGCGAACCAGTAAAAGAGGCTTGGCCCCTTGCTAGTGCGTAAGCACAAACATCGACCGAAGTCGCGCATGTCAATGCGTGTAAACGCTAAACAGAATACGAACGAATCCAGCCACAGTGAATGTACGTCACACGGTTTAGGCAAATAGGCACACTGGCCGTAAACCCTCCGTGAGCGCCACCACCTGCCAGACCGCCGCTCCTGCAGACGTGATGTAAGTATATGGCATCACCACCAATTGCATAATCAGCACGGCTACTAGCCGCAGAGCGTGTCATGAGTCTACCGCTCACCTCAAGGGAATGGGGTCCCACGTTGTGCGGCTTTCGGCCGCAGCCTTGAGAGTCTCCTCAGATCCTCCCGCCAGCTACCACCCGCATGAGGTCGACATATATGCTCCACCAACCAATACAACGGCAGATATAGCCAAAAGGCAGTTATAAGATAAGAGTAATAATTCACCATCAGAAAGGGTTTGTGTCACTGACGTTGAGTAAATGCATTTTCGATCACGTTTGTCTCACCCATCGCCAAGTTGCCTTCAATCATTCAAAGGTGGGAAAGTTACAGAGATATAATATTATGTTGTTATATAAAACATCGTGGAGGGCAGACAGTCTGCAGCCCCGCAAAGGGACCCGATTTGGGCAAAGCTACTTAGGTGTGAGTCAAACCAAGACGCAGAGAGCTCCATTGAGAAGAGCGTCCCACCAAACAACCATCGCAGAGACGCAATGCTGCAGAACGCAACAAGCATCAATACGACTATCGTCGGGCTTACACCATCCCAAGGTCCCCCATACATCCCAGCAGACATCACCACCCGCATATCTCCATCGACCAGAACCACAAGAGAGCGTCGAATCAGGCGCAGCACACCCGCAGATCCATCACAAGACGCAATACCGCAAGTAGCAGTAAGCATCAATGCAACTATCATACGGATGGCGCCCCCTCACAACACACCCACATGATCCCTATCGACTTTGGTAACAAAGTTGGCATTGTTGTTATATAAAAAATATCACCAACGTATCATAGTAGCACGCTACTAAGACGCCAATGAACAAAACTCCACGTATCATAGCGCTAATGCACTAAGACATGAAGTTGAGTATGCCTGTTACATTTAAAAGAAACACACTCATCATCCCAATCCGAAAGATAGACGACACATCGCTATGCGCAACGACGTCGCCCACAAACGGTATGGGTGTGCGATGTCCACGGGAAAGCCGTATTGCTACAACAAACCCGCTTACCACCGGCACTAAGATGATATGTCTAGGACACATCGGTTAGCGAGTCCAAGTTTACCTCGGACCAATTGCTCGTGAAGCAACACACACGCCACTATAATATTCCTTTTCAAGTCCCTAATAAGGACTAGTCATTTTGCTACAGTACTAGGAGCAGTCAGTCACCCGACCACCCCATACAATGCTTATGCATCAAGGAGACCTCCTATAATATTGCTTTTGTATCATAGACCTTACTTTCATAAGTCATGCATATATAGGATTCGAACCCACAACCCTACTATTGTAATGCATATTAATCATAGAGACCTTCTATAGTATTGCTTTTGTATCATAGACCTTACTTTCATAAGTCATTCATATATAGGATTCGAACCCACGACCCTACTATTGTAATGCATATTAATCATAGAGACCTTCTATAGTATTGCTTTTGGATCATAGACCCTACTTTCATAAGTCATTAATATATAGGGTTCGAACCCACGACCCTACTATTGTAATGCATATTAATCATAGAGACCTTCTATAGTATTGCTTTTGTATCATTGAGTTTAATATCATAAGTCAGTAATATAGGACTAGTCATTGTGCTACAGTACTTCAGGCAGTCGGGCTCCCGACCACCCCATATATATGTACAACTGCAGGTATGTACCTCCGGCAGCTCCTCCATACAGGACGTCTATACGTGAACACCTTCCATAACTTAGGAAAATTTTCTTTAATACATGAACTCTTTCAACAACTTAGGAAATTTCATCTATACGTGAACTCCTTCCACAACTTAGGAAAATTTTCTTTTATACATGAACACCTCCCATGACTTAAACAATTTTTAACAAATTTTCTAATTATCTTATAAACGTTATTTAACTTAATTTTATAATATTTTTTGACTTGTATTTCTATTATTTATCTTATTTCAAATATTTTTTTCAAGTTTTTAAATAAATTTATTTATTACGAAAAACAATAATTTTGCCTTTAATTTACTATGTTATTGGGATAATGTCAGAAATATATTAACTTTATGTTTATTAATTTAACTTAATTGCTTAATATATATCTTTTAAGACTATTTTTGACGCCCCTTTATATTGAATTTAATTATTAATAATAATATTGGGCCGTCACAAGGGGAAGTACCTTGAAACTGGGGAGATACGACAAAGGGGCTCTTTATATATTTATTTCAATAAATTTCCAGTTACATCGTTCTCTATCGTCTTTAACCAAAATGTAACATATTTTTCACATTATGCTGAGCCATTGCCTGTATGTTTAATTTCTTATTAATAGAGTTTTAGAGATGAGCAAGCTAACTTCTAAATTTCCTTCGGGCAAATTTCGTTTACATAGGAACCACTGCGGCCACAGCACGTCTTCTTTTTCTGTCACAATTACGCTGGTCAATTATTACTCCTAAATATTTTGTTTTGTTTGCTTTTGATGTTTTGTTTCAAATACAGTTAGTTATTTTGCTGTTTTGTTACCAACAGTCTCGCGTTCTGCAGGACCGTCCCCTGATAGCAGTTTTCCATTTTCGTATTGCAAAATTACTGAAATATTCCCGCAAAATATCAAATGTAATAAAGGCCACTGCTGAACATAGACCTTCCCCTTAAATTGCCCCTTAGGGGGTATAATTGCCACAGTTGCCACTACTGCAACGCAGTTTTTTAATTTTATACACTTGTCATATCAGGAAAATGCTGCCATCTATCCCATGGTTCCATGGCATGAAATAGGTCAGTTAATATTTCATGTAATAATTTATTACATCAAATATATAAAAAAAATTAAAAACACCATTATTGACACTTTTATTAGCAAATAAAGATTTTAATTGATTGAAATATTATGCTTAAAGGAAAATTAAAAATATGACATGTTTGTAATATAACTTTTATGTATTAAATAATTTACACAATTTAATTAATATTACTTTTCCTTATTTGGGATAAGATGAATTAGTCTACAATGGTACAAGCAATATTTTAAATATCAGACAGTAGGGTTCACGACTTTGCAGGGTCCTAGTTTGGTGACTCTTAAGTTCGGTTTCTGACATTTCATACACTGCAAATTGGAGTAGGTCACGCCATCCGAGCCGCAGACAGGCCAATAAACGCGTGGACAAGCGCAAGCGGAGGTCATATCGATGGCGAGGCACACCACCAGTAAGCAAAGTAGAGCTGAAATTGAAACTAAAGCTGAAAAACTTCGTTGTTACTGGGTTCGTAGTTAGTTACTTATATATATAACGGTCTTTTTATTCCACGGCGCCGGTCCATGCATACCTGGCTTTATGGGAACTCGGAAGGGTTATCTCAGAATAGCACCGATTAAAACCCTAAGGTTACCTTCGCTGCATAAGTATGAAACATTTTTACACATCCGCGCTGGCACAGTTGGCCAGTCGCACTTTAGAAATCTCCCCTCGGGAGAGGAAACGTTCTAGGCCTACCTTATATGGCTTCATATGGGGGATAAATGGCATTTTATACTGGGGGTGTTATTTAGGCATTTTGGGTGACAATAGGATAGATTGAGTTTGGAGCCCTTACCATCAGGTGCTGTTTTTTTCACTATCCTACGTTGCCACGCTTAGAAAGACGGTTGGCTGCCGTAGTTTATTTTATTTTAATTGTATTCTGATGCAGCTGCTGCCCATCCCATGGGGATATAGGGTAGTAAATATTCTTACACCACCACTGCGAATAAAATTTCGGTTTCGTAGAATTAGCATCTTAAAGTGTTTGCTTGGGATTACCGCGGTGGCATGACTGTTCAGTACGAATCTGAATATAAAAACTTTTTTGGTCTCGGCGTTTTAACTGGAGATCTTAACCGAGGAGAATATCGGGCTTGTCTACAATGGAATATGTGCGGCAAATTCGTTGATGTGTCGTAAGAGGCGACTACATGAAACGCGATCTAATGGCTTCTGATAGATTTTTTATTTAATATTCTTTAATATATACCATACAAAAATTACAGAAATTATATATACAAAAGATGTATCTGTAATAATTTCGTTTATGCCAAACGTAAAATATTTAGACCGACTGTGGGGAGAAGCATCAAAGCGAGACGTCTGGTACTACGATCAACAATTCGCCTGCCAAGCGAGTGCTCGGGAGTGGGAGTGGAGTGAACGGGAGAGGATCATATCCAGTAGACCTTACGAGGCTCATGTTCATGTTCATTCGTGCTACAACTATACTACTAATATAATTGCAGCATGGCTCTACCACGTAAACGTCTACCTGATGGTAAGTAGATGTTGTAGCTAATAGACTTCTACATCTAACCTTGATTAACTATCGTAATGAAGATGCATTATTACTCCTGAAGACTGTCTGTCCTAATGCCTTATTTCCAGTAGAAAGGGTCTCCAATTTTCTACACTCAACATACGAAACACAAACACGCTGCACAAGTCACAATACACAACAGCATTAAGCTGCTATTTCATGCTAGTGTTCTGTGAGAGCGTGGTTGGTGGCGTTGATCTACCACTTATATAGGTAAATTCTTTCAACGTATTCTTTCCAAGTAGAAGAGGATCTAACGTGCGGGTGCTTAAAACACAAAAGTCACAAAATTTTAATTGATTTTTTTATGATTTTTCAAAATTAATTTAGGGTTCTTTCAATAAATAGGATTTCCCACAACCATAATTGAAGATTCCCTATATCATGATGAATAAATAATTTTACAAAAAACTGATGATGACTTAGGGCGTAACGGCAAACAGTGTGAATACGTATTAAACTTACCAATTTTGACTGACATTTAAATTGTTTTTTTTTACTGTGATAAATTATACTCGCTCTAACGCTTTGACTGGATGATTGAATTATTTTCTCTTTAATATATAGTTGATATCTGTTTATTATCTTCATCTCTTCATTTAGCCACTTGTGCTTTCACACTTCAAAAACTGGGCCAAGTAAATTGTTTATTTATTACTTTTCTATATGAACAGTATAAAAAAATCCGTATGACGATAGTATAAGAGAATTCATCGCGCCATTTCGTAACAAGCGATTATGGAATGTCAAAAGACTTTATAACTTCCGAAGTTAACGGCTTAAATTGTCTTTACACCAGGGGTAAAAATAACCAGGCATCAGACAACAGCGTCAAATGGATGAAACATCTGATACTGCGTTTGATAAGCGTGATGATTAAGGCAAATCGCCTTTCCAGGGTTAGAGAATCCAACCTCTCTAAGGTTTAATACTAATTGTGTAAAATAATATAGTTAAAGTTAGTTACAGTTATAACATATATACGTCCCACTTCTGGACACAAACCTCCTCTTATTTCTGAGACGGTTTTAGGGCAAGGAAATGTCCGCCGCGCTTCCCCAATACGTGTTGGCGAACTTCACATGCCTTCGAAATATTTTTTCTTATATTTGATACATGGAGGTTTCCTCACGATGTTTTCCTTCATCGCCGAGCACGTGGTTTGGTGTCATGTCGTGTCATTGGTGTCGGCGGGATCGGCCACGGGTTTTTCACGTACACCGAAATATACAGCGAGCGCTTAGCCCCTGAGCTACCACGGCTCCCTGAGCTACTACGGATAAATTAACAATATAAAATAATATATTGTAAAATAATTTTATTTAAAAAAATGTCATGCCCTTGCGATGTTTTCCCACCGAGAAGCGTAAATCAGCACTTAAAATTGCAAATAAGGTTTTCAGATGGAGCGTCGTTGTGGTTTTAATTTTTTTTATATATATTTTTTACATTAGAATTAATGTTATCATTTTAATACATATGCAGACATGCAGCTGCGCAGCGTGGATAGGCGTGTATTGGCGACAGGAGAATCCACTATCCCATTTCGCCCCATTGATGTCGTAAGAGGAAACAGAGCAAAATGAATCAGATGGGCAGCGGCATCTCCCTTATATATATAACAACTCGAAATAATAACAATCAGCGGTTTTCAACCCACTTGTTAAGCATAGCAAATATGGCTAGCAGTGGTGGAGCCATGCCGCAGCTATATTAGTAGTATAGTTGTAGCATGAATGGGTGGGCTCGAACGAAGAAGGACTACGCTCTCACACAATACCAGCGCAAAATAGCAATATAACGCTGCTGTTTTTCGTACGATAAGAACCGGATACCCATTTTACTGAAGTCTGCAAATACATTTCGATTCTTAATCGAGTATAAATGTCTATGGGCCACAGTATCCACGTACCGCGAGGTGAAATGTGTGCTCGATTGTCACCCTCATTCTTAAACTTTTGTTTTCCTATAATATATGAAAACAAAAGTTAAAAAATATTGTGTTTAATTAAATGGTTATACGTTAATCACCGCCTCTAGTAAATTAGAGAATCCGCGCTGCAACAAAAGTGCATATTCACTTGAATATTTTGATCGTGTTTATTTCATTTCATTTTATCTGTCACTTACTAAGGCAGCATGTTTGCTAACATTGTCAATATTTATGCAAACTATTGGAACCCACTTCACGCGAACGGGTCGACGAGAAATATTTATTAAATTAATATTGCGACATAACTATATGAAATGCTGTTTGTATTTTTTTTTTGTAGAATTGCTCGTGACATACGAGCACACAAAATTACCCATGTTAAGCAAAACTTCGACAATACGCATTGACCTTGAGCTATGATGGTCCTAATAAGAATGCTAGGTCATAGTCATTAAATTATTGTGTTGTCATTGGTTATTAGTACATCTGAAAATTAAAAAAAATGGAAAAGAAAAATGCACCTTGACACTTTAGGTTCAAAATTGTTTTTTTTTTAAATATTTATAGTTGAATTTTAAAAATGTATAAAATTTTGTGTATCGTTCGTTACAGTTATACAATATCTGACACAATTGGATAGGCTGTATGGTCGTTGATTATTACCCGTTTCGAAGGATACTTAAATTGATAGCTTCGATCTTCAATTTTCAACTTGTTATGCGCATTTGGCATTGTGGTTGTCTTTGTGTATTTATTTCGGGTTTTTAATTTTCGTGGATTAGCTTTAGCTTTGGCTTTTCCCTCGGATTACAGGACAATAACTTGTTGCGCCCACATAATCACAATAATGTAGTACTTGGGTTTTGAGAGGAATAGAACTACGCTAGTAATATATAAGTTAATGTTTAGAACACACAAAGTACTGCTTCTCTATATTATATTTTATTAATAATTACAGAAATTAATTAAACAATTAAAAAGGTTGACTTTTATTTTACTTTATTTAACAATAACTAAAAAATGCATTGTTTGTGTCCTTTTAATTTGTTTAAACAACTTATTACAAGGATGAGTGATTTTATTACATAACCTACAAGTTATAAAACTTAAAATAAAAATAAAACCTCAGGTTCTACAAAAATATGACTTTTTGTCATAACTAGCAAATGTTTAAATCTTCAAAATAAGATATATATGATTTTGTTCACTTTTTTCGCGCCGGCCCTAGCTTATATGGAACCAAGTTCATCTCCTTTTGAACTGAATAGTCAATGTTTTATAATAGAAAGACGTTATTGCCCATCTCCTGATTTGTTTCCTCTGCCGCCTTTTACGGCACCCACGGTATGATATGGGGTGGTGGATATTCTTAAGAGTAGATCACCTCTACACGGTAAATATATAATTATCATATTTTTATAAAGATATACTAAATATTTTTATATTTTTATAATTATATAATTATATAATAACAAATTTAACTAATTTACAATAGAAACTCCAGCTGGAACTAAATAATAATATAATAGAAACGAGGTAAATTTTCTCAGTAAAAATTAATTTTACATTGTCATATTGCATATGCCTTGTTTGATTTTAAGCGACATTTCGCAAATGTTTCATTTCCTTTGTCATATTACTGAACGTTACAAATAATTTTGTGACAGTAAAAATCTTATGCGAATTTCTTAAATTGATTGCTACATATATTCTTATATATACAATCTATTTCCACTCTTTACCTCTCAATGAATCTACAAATAATTACACAGATTCTGAACATACTCGTAGTAGAGCTACGCTACGGCTATATTATAGTTGTAGCACGAATGGCTTAGTTCGATCGGGGTAGGACCACGCTCTCGCAGAATATCAGCGTAAAATAGCAGCTCTAAGCTGCTGTGTTTTGTATGATGATTGTAGAGAATCGGACACCAGTTTTCTTAATTCTATCTTAATCCTCAGGGTGATAATAAATCCGTAATCAGTATAGATGTAGATGTCTGTAGGTACAGTAACCATTTACTGTCAGGTGGACTGTGTACTCGCTTTCATTCTTATTCTGTAAACAAAATCGCATTTCAGGCTACATATCTATGAAAATATTTAATGGTTAGGACTGAAATGTAGTTTTCAGTCTCTATATGACTTACTCTTGAAAGTATTATGTATAAAGGACGCCGCGCTACTGTAACGCGTGTCAGCAGGTTTCCTCACCATATTTTCTTTCATCGCCAAGCTCATTACAAATCATCACTTAAAATTGCATTTAAATATTTCCGTTACTTTTATTGTATATAAGTATACAAATATTTGCAGCTTTTTAATCGACTGTCACCGATATTCCTTGGTAAGTGTTACAATTTATATATTTATGTAGTTTAATCTTAGAAATGTAACATAGGAATTTGATTAGAAAACAAGCGTTTCACTAGCCCGCCGCCAAATACCATGCTCGTTTGCTTTGTGATTGAGGAATACACACACTATAATAATATACTAAATAATAATAATAATGTCCTCCAGACCGAATTTCGGCCACAGCAGGCTGCCTCAACGGAGGCTAACCAACGGCGCAGGACAGAATTACATTGCCCAAGTGTATGCGCAAGCACAGGTGCACTCTCTATTCCCTCACTCTCATAATCCGATGAGGCGGTAAACCGACACAACCGGAGAGAGATCAGGCGCAGGACCAACGGCTTTACGTGCTTTCCGAGGCACGGGGGGGAGACACCACCAACTTTCTGACTCCGGGCCGCTACTGAGAATTTCTTGACAGAAAAACTCAATAATTAATTTTTTGGCCCGACACGGGATTCGAACCCAGGACCTCATGATCAGCAGTCGCACTACTACAACCGCTAGACCAACGAGGATATATCAATACGGAATACATTTTGCTTTATATTTCACTTTGCATTTCAGCACAGACCATGGATGTTTATTGTAATATCCAATCTAGCAATACGCAACCAGAGTTGCTAGCGTACTGTGAAAATTTATCGCAAGGGCTAAGCCCATAAGCTACCACGGTTCTTTATATACATTATTACAATATAAAGCTATAGGAAAACAAAAGATGGACGCTGTGACCAATAGACATACCATCCATACAACCTCAGTTATGAATCAAAATGTAGATGCATTATTATCCCTGAGGATAATATAATTATTATAATTGATAATTAGTGATCGCCAATACGGTTTTCGCCGTGGTCGATCAGCTGGTGATCTTCTGGTCTACCTAACTCATAGATGGGCGGCGGCAGTAGAGTCCAAGGGGGTGGCATTGGCCGTTAGTTTGAACATTGCGAAGGCCTTCGATCGGGTTTGGCACAAAGCGCTTCTTTCGAAGCTCCCTTCCTATGGGCTTCCCGAGAAATTGTGCAATTGGATCACCAGCTTTCTTGCAGATCGGAGCATCAAGGTCGTTGTAGACGGTGCAAGCTCCGATTATAAGCCTATTAATGCTGGTGTTCCACAACGCTGCGTGCTATCGCCAACGCTGTTTCTTCTGCATATCAATGATATGTTGCAAACCCGTA